CGAAGGCCTTCCTGAGGAACACAAAATCAGCGCTGTTCATTGTACAACAAATTCGGTAGATCTTCAGATCTCATATACTCCAGTGAAGCCTTGATCTTCTCCGTTTCCATGATTTGGAGGCCGCGAAGTGCTGTCGATAGCATTCTTCAACTGTAGCAGATCGCAAAGATTTTAATGACAATGCTGGTGGATTTATCAACTGCGTCCTGTCTTTCAGTCGTAGATGTTATTCAAGCTTATTAGTCTTTACTTATTTTGTCAGTTTCCGTATATCCATGGACGTTTTTGCTGAGGGATAATAATTTGGCAGTTTATTCGGAATGCCAACCCTGACGAACTATTATCAACGTCTTCCCAACGTTCACCCAGCCCTAGCAGATTCCAGGAAGTAGAGTTTTTGGGAGGTCTATGTGTCGTGAGGAGTTGTTGTTGCCGGTTGGCGGGAAGTTCATTGTCTCAACCTACCGGAGCTGTGTAGGTTCGCATGTTCCCACACCTCTTCCAGGCCGCAACGCAGCAGGAGTGTTGCAGTTAAAACTTCATGAATTTGATTAAGAGCTTAACATTTTCTGATATGGTCCAAATATTAACATTCAGTATTCGATGCAATTCTACACTTTCTGTTCATGACACTACTGGCATATTTCTTGGTAATAGAAAAGTATCGTTTTCAAGTTATTGCCATGTGGCTTTGAGTGATGGACTCACATGTAGATGAAGGAATTGTCTTAAGAAGCATAATGGCACAAAACTAGTTAAATAATTTCTCACTTCATTTGTTCTTCTAATTAGCTCTATCGCGGCAAATGACATTATTCATCAGACACACACTTCATTTCATCATTTGAGTTTTGCTCGTGGTCAACTGTGGCTGAAGAGATCGCAAGATGTGTATATTGACTATTAACTCACTTAGATGTAACCACTGTCAGAATGTCCTCATCCAGTTGGAAAAGTTCATAGCGCTCGTTGGATATGTCAGTCGACGAACTAAGGTATGAAAACGACGTATAACTCAGGGAACTGCTGCTGAATCATTTTCTGTGGTGAAAGATCATTTAATGCGTATGAGGAGATCATCCGTGTTTCATGTCAAACGGTGGAACGGACAAAAAGTAATTTGGATGTTGCAAATAAATGAATATTGCTATGAGGTTAACATCTATGAGAAAAAGTATATTCCAATTGCTGTTACCTGAATTTTAGAGCAAAAACGCACCACCTTCTGTTCTAGTTAAGGCTCTATGTCATACAATCCGATATCAGTAATTACAATATGATATTTATGGACGACAACAAAATGTTTCCAGCCGCGGTAGTTATCACAGAACACGTGAATTATGTTTTATCACATTTAATCTACACCTTTCACTATTAATAGTAGCACATTTGGTGGTCAGTCTTCAGCATGCAGTTGTTCAACCGAATTGAGAGGCGCGGTGTCGCATCCGATGCTTTGAATGGGCATAAATATCATGGAGTAGCATTCTTCATAAATGCCCTCTCCCCTTGCCATAAACGGTTAGAAGCAAGAATACGGTAGGTATTTACCGTAAATCCAGTTCCACTCATTAAAATGTAATATTTTCCAGCGAAATTGAAAAGTTGCCATTTCTATATATCGCAGGTTAAATTTTATCTTATTATGAATAAAATAATTTTGCTGTTTTTCTCATAATTACGTAATGCTGTTTTGTATGACTGGGAAAACTGCAATGGTGGTCGCCTGGCTGTTTACCATGGACCAAACGTTATCTAATTCCATTTTACATGCCTTGTGGTGAGGATTGCAAAAGCGGTCGAAACAAAGTTAAAAAATGATGCTGACATCACCTTCCTCAGAACAAAAGCCCTTTTAGCACCAAGGTGCTTGAATCTTGTTAGAACATCAGAATCAGTAAAGAAACTTCTTTGCAAGAGTTGTTTTTTAAGGCCGCAGTACGCTCATACATTATCCGACTAAAAGTTAGGCGTAATTGCTTCTGCAAGACTTGACGTTCCCTTTCGTCCCAATATGGCAACAGGGGAGGTTACTACAAATTGCCCATGGTTGCTAACGTGCAATGTATTTGTCCTGACGTGACTGAATTTTAAGCTGGATTCTTTGAACCATGCACTAGTAATTCGCAAAGTGTTTGTGTTGACGGTTTGATTTGATAAAAAATTAATTATGTTCACAGCATTTTCTACAGATAACAACAACTGCTTTCTGATAACTTGGGGATTCAATAAAATGCATGGAAAAACTTATGGCACTTAAGCACTATTTCTGTTTGTGTTGAATTAACTAATCGTTATGCCAAATTGCCATCAGCAACTATAAACATGAAAGTAAAACCGCTTAATTTGTCTACAATGTTTTGAGTTTCATGATTTCAATAAAGGTCTGACACGGTAGAACTAAAAATCCCCACTTTAATCAAAGTGCGACCCTGTTATGAATAGAGGGCCTTGCTTAAAAACGTTCAACATTTGAATCTTCAGAAAATTTTCAGGTTTTTTTTGTATTTAAAAAATTCATTATCGTGGTTTACCGTAACATCTTCACTGCTGGTAATAAGAACTGTAGTAATGACCCACTATCATCGACCCATATGGATAATGGTCGAGATTTCTTTATACATTTTTGTTTCCCGTTTTCAACCAGCTAAGTTACAGACGATAACTAAGCAATTTACAATAATTTGGAAGACTACGGTATCCTGCATCATAACTATAATAATGATAAACAACTGACTGTCCACATTTCACAGTTAAAGTCACAGTGCACCTTGATTTAGCCGTAAGCAACCTTGTGAAAGAATAGGGTGTAAATACCATATCAAAAATTTTTCGACCATAGCTAAAATCCTGACTTGCGTGGTAAGGTGCATGTGCAAATTAAAGTAAGGGAGTGAAAAATAGGTAAATAGCTATGCAGTTGAACTTCACCATAAATTGCTGCATGCATTTGTTTTCCCAATGAAATCCCTCTCGTCGTCCCAACATACAAAACATTTTATATTGAATTCTGTTTCAGTGACTAAATAGAAAGATTGTTCATGTAGGAAAAAACAAAAAGAAAGCAATGAAACAGCTACAGACATGTAATAATGATATTAAAATAAAATCAACATAAAACAGGTTATTAATAATTCGCCAAACAAGTAAATTATGGCGCTAACTCAGCCATTGAGTATTCTATATGAAGCTGCAACGAACAATTTGTGATAGCTGCCACCGCATACATACACGTAAATTTGATGAATCAATGTTGTTCATATTAAAGCCATACTGTACGATTGGTAAGCTGGCTTTTGCGCGTTTCTGCGTTGAACTTTAGTTTTCACTCGTGGTGAATGCATCCTTTTCAATGGTGTATTGCATTTTTTCAGGCTATTTGCTGCTCTAGAAAAATTGGACGGCAGAGGCCACAGGAACGTCGTTCAAAGCGCTGATTTTGCGATTCCAGCAAGTCAAAGGAGTCCGGTACAGCAACGTTCGACACAGTATCGGATTAAAATATCGTGTGCCTGGGCTACAGGCAGTTTGACTAACATTTTCAAAAGAATAAAAATGTTAATAAAAATCTGATATATTTTTGCAAAGCTGACAACAATTAAAATTCAAACATTTTATTGCGCAATTTCCAAGAAACAAATATTTCCTAAACCAATAAATTGTAAGTTCTTGAAGATATTGTTTTTAATTGCCATGAGAGCAAGTCTGCCTAGTCATTCTTGTGTCATCTGTTTACATTTTGTAAATGTCTCATTTTGGAGAAATTCTTCTCTCCAGTCGCATTGTTTCTCAAGAATGCATAATGTACTATACAGGTGGAAATATAAGCAACTTACAGCATTCACACTTATGCCTCAATTCATTAAATTTCCCAACAGAGCTCCTGAAGTGAAGAATTTCTGGCATAAAACCAGGCTCGATGACGTCTGAATAAATCGTTTGAAAATTGGCTGCTACCGTTGAAATGTTTTCATCATTAGTTGTTGAAAATTCGACCTAGAAAACAAACAACAAATGAACAACTTTATATGCTTCAATGCGATGAGAAAGATCTGAGCATAATTTGTCTATGATAGGTAGATATTTCTACCTTTATCTTCTGTCTTCTTCACAAAGCAATATCTTCAGCATTACCGTCATTGATTCACTCTTTTATCCAATGCTCTCGTTTTTGTTTATCTAAGTATTTTCTATTTTATTTTTGCTTTATTTTGAAACACGTCAAAAAGATCCCGCTGCGACATCAAAATTTCATCAGTAGAGATTTAAGAAATTTAATAGTTAATTGAACCTCCAGTGTTTCGATTTGAAGTGATCTGCTGACCTGATTGAACCTCTCTATGGTAGCTTT